GCCGTTGGAAACTTAACACAAATCTCTAGTCATCTGACCTCTGCAAAATACAGTCCCATTGTATTCTTCGTACAAAACATAGGCCTGTTCCTTCCCTTGGCTCAGACTTGGCCCTTTTATTAAAGAAGCATTGACAAAATTTTAAGTGAAATTCATATATCTCAGCAATCACTTAAATAAAGCATCTTAAATGACTCTCTTGCTGAATTCCTGATCCAATTAATTACTAAAACCTGTCAATTCTACCTCCTAAATATTTCTTCCATCTTCCCTACCCCATTCCTACTACCTCAGGTTAATTCAAGCAATCAACATCCTTCATTTGGATTAACATTTATGTACTTATTTCTAATCTATCTTGGTCAAGCAAAATTTGCAGTGTTTTTCAGAAATATAGGACAGAACAATTTTTTAAAGTATGCAAGAAAACAACAATTAAAGACAAGAAGAAAGTCAATCAAATAAGCCACAAGTTAATACACTGAAAAACATACCATGGAGTCTTAAACTATTACTAAAAATAGATTTCCATTAGTTTTCCAAATGATAAGACAAGAAAGCAACCCAATCTCAATCACAAAACCAGAATTTCAATAAGATAAACACACACAAATTGACAAAATGGATTTTTTTCTTCAAATTCATCTGTAGTTATCAGACTCCAGGAGACTAACTCACATTATCAAACTTAGAAGGGACTAAAACGTGAATTAGGATGCCAACATAGTAGTATACAATGATATACGTTACTACCACAAGGTCTAGAATGCCTTTTATCAGTGGGGACAACACATTTTCTTCCTATAGAAGATATATCTTGGAGCAATTTATAATAAGGTTTTTGATGAGCAAGGAACTGTATCAAGGAACAAGTTATCTTAAGCGGTGTCTTCCACCTAAGAGAACTCAAGAAACTTCAGGAGCTATGGGGAAGGCTGTGCCAGAGCTTGTTCAAATCTCTTGTCAGAGGACTTCCCACCCCCACCCAGCCCAAGCCCCCATGAATCTGAATAAGCATGGCCAAAGATTGCCTCTCTAACTTGTTTTTGTTGCAGTTGTCATTTTAGTCTATTTAGCTAGTCCAGGTTAACTAACCCTCCTTAATGACACTTTCTTTCCTTAGATATTTGAAACCAGCTTCCTACTTCAGACCTGAGAATACACTTTTTTTTTTAAAAACAGTAAAATTTAGATATAAGTTTATCAGTTGTGAGTGGATTTTACAACTTAACTGTCAGAGCTCTATGCCCCTGCAAATACTACCATTGTCATATATTTTTCTTGGAGCAACATTTCCTTTTAGAAACTCAGGTCATAAAGTAATAGTTATGTAAGAGACTAATACCTTTGATTTCAGTTCCTTGTCAGAAAGATGAGAAAAAAATCAAAGTTCTCTTCATGTTACAGTCTTTGGTTCCATAATTTATATTTCAATTCCCTCTAAAGGCCAAATAAAACTTTCAAACTACTAGAAACATCATTTTTAATCAACTTCTGAAAGGTCCTTGTTCCTAGTAAAACCTTGAAATTAGCTGTTACACTTGATCCTTTTAGTTATACCCATAACGCACAGATCTGAACTACCAGATGTATAATCTTAATAAGTATAATATATAAACATATACAAACACATACATATAAATGTCTATATGTATATACACATGATGGTTAATTGTAATAAATATACCCACACACAACTGATTTTGATACAGACTTTGAGCTTCCATTTGTCCCGATAGAGCCTTTAGCCAACATGTCTCAGGTTTGTGAGGGTTCAGACAGTCTTTTGAATCTCATTTAACAAGATAATTTGTTTTCTAAGAAACTTCAATGGCACAGTAGTAGAACTTGGCTAAACTAGAAAAATGTGTATTTTCCCAATTGTGACAGGAGGAAAAATAAATGATCTCAAGTCCTAGTCAATTCACAAGACAGATTTTCTCTCAACATCTCCAACTTCTCAATTATAGAGGAGCAGGTGCTTTAATATGTAGCATGTTGTTTGAAAAGTAAGCTTCCTCGAGTTTACCTTAGGATCTAAGGATCTCATAATTCCAACAAGCAGTCTTGCTCTTAATTCCTCTCTAGCTGTAGAGCACCTCACTGGGCCATTGGCTGTGCTGGTTCCGGGCCAGAAAATAAGCCTCCAGTGTTCAGACGGGGATCTGGGAGTCTAACTGTTCCTTTTAGAAGTTGCCACCCATTGTCTTCTCAGCTCTGTCTACCCCACCTTCAGAGGTACACTGTGCCTCTAGTGCCTGAACCTTTCCCAGATCCTGTGACTTCAATTAGCTTGCTTCCTCACAGCTGCTCTACCTGAAGGCTTATGTCTCAGCTTTCTTGGGTCTGTTCAATCTGATTGGTTACTGCTCCTCTCTCTCCTTTCTTCCAAAGTTTTGTTGGTATCTTTTATCTGCTCCATCTCCTGTTTCATTCATTTTTCCCTTGTATGGCTATACATGTCTAGTCTCTTTGGGTGGGTAAAAGAAGGAGTGGAAGTAAACACACATTTAAATGGCACTGTTTAAGTAAAAGGATGGCTAGTCACGTGTCTTTACATTTCCCTATCCCATTTTAGGGCCAAAACGTCAGGGGTGACCTCCTTCTCTTTTTTTGGCCCCAATTAGTTCCTTTTTTCTGTTTATAATTTGTTTTATATTGGTTCAAAATTCCAAAAGAAAAAAAAAAAACTCAACCCATAGGGGTTATTTTTCCAACAAGGATCTTTAATTTCTTAGTCAATAAATAATGACGAGGAAATAAAGATTACTCATAACTTCTCAGCCCTCTATTAGTGAGATGGCAAAAGTTTGAGCAAGGAAAATCCTAACTTAGGGCAAATAAAATGAGCTTTGAAGTCAAATTCTGGACATCAAACTCAGCTCTTAAAGGGCAAGGGGAGCTAACATCCTCTTAATAGAACCTAGATGATTAACAATGGTGACATCCAATTACCGCTCTTATTTGCGACATTGAGAGCTGTGCTTCCCCTTTAATTAATAAGCATGCATAATTTCTCCAAAGAGCAAAAAATAAGAATTTTACAAGACATTTTCTGCTTCTATTTCCTTTCCTTGTTTGAACTTGCATAATTTATCTTTGGGGATGAAATTACCTCGGCCTTTTAGCTCTAGGAAAACGATCAGGAGTCTACAGAGCCATCTTTCACAAAAAGAAAGAAAATGGCGGGCTTTCGTTGGCAAATGGCCAAGAAGCACGCATACGCCCCTGTAAAACGCAAGGTGTCCAAGGATTTCCTGAGACATACCCAACATACAGTCGTATTCCATAAGTTCTTCAGGCACTGTAAGAATGACAAAAATGAGCTATTAAGTATTTCAAAGTGAATTTTGATTAGTTACTTTTGCTATTAGAATTTTAAGACTGCTGTTATCAATTAAGGAAAAAAATAGAAAACAAGTGTTCTTTGTCTTCTTTTCCATAAACAAGGCCTTTCCAGAGCATTTTACTTTAAAAGTGAGGTTTTTTTTTTTTTCTTTAGCATCCACCTATCTCAGACTGCCTCAGAAGTCAAGAAGATGCAAAAATGCAAATTAATGCAGGAGTTTTTCCATAGGAAGGAAAGTTCAGTATTACAATGACTACAATCCCGTTGAGCTAATTACTAAGTACACCAAGATCCTGCTGGCCAACATCCATTGTGTTCCATAGGATTCCTCCTATGGAACTATGAGCTATGTTGTCACAATGTCCATGACACCAGCATATTGTAGGTACATGATTCATACAATGGTTTCAAGGAAATCCCCCCATCCCAACTACCCAGAGAAAGGGAAGACTACAGAAGTGAGCAAGGAAGAACCTGGAACTGTGTCAATGTTTGTATGAGTTTCAGATGTAACCACCAGTCTGTTTACATGACTCAAGGGTGATTACGGCTCTTTACACTTCCATTCTCCAAATGACAATACTCAGAAAGTAAAATAACCATATGCAAAGCAACTCGGCCCTTTGGCTTCTGGGGTGTGTGAAAGAGGGGGTGCTCTTTTCTGGATGACATGCTACTGTCCTTAGACTAGAACCTCACTAGCTTCCTCCTCATGAAAGCCTCCTGCAAAGGCTATGCTAAAGAATGCCATCTATCTTGAAATGCAAACGGTTCACTCGAATCCAAGGTTTAACATACTACCACGGCTCCCCACTGGCTTCAAGGAGTTTAAACACCTTGGCAACATGTCTGTGGACCTTTGTAATCCCCCTGCTTCCTATCCCTCCAGCCTCACCCCATGCTCCTTCACACTGCTCAGTGCCAAAGACAAAATAACATACCCCCTCCCCCATTTTCACCTCCTTAGCTCCCCACTACCGCTCCCCTACTCCTCCTTATCTCATTCCCTCTCCCTCCTTCATTTCCCCGACTCATCAGTACATTTTCTAACAAGGTAAAGCATGTATTGGCCTCAATTTCAGAATCCAGTACCCTTAAGGCCGTTTCCACCATCGAAAGGTTTGAATTCTGCTCCTCGGTCAGTCTTCAGCGCCTAGCAGTTAGCACAATCTCATATGAGGTGCTCAGTTAACGTAGCGAATGAATGGATAAAATGAACAAAGGCCCACGAAAGTAGATGTGCAAGTAAGACTCATAACCACGCATGCACAGAGAGAAAGAGAGAAAATGAGAGAGAACATATGAAGCAGGCAGGCAGGGCAGAGAGACTCCTAAAATAGCTTCTCCTCATTAGGCCCCACAGGGGCCATGCTTATAACTACATATTCCTTAGTCCCAACTCATCAGTCCAGCTCCACGAGCCAGGCTTTCCCCACCGCGTCGACGGCCTGGGCACGTAAAGGGCTGAGCAGCCCCAGCTTCCGTGCCCATCTCTTAAAGGGCCAGAGCTGCCCACCTCGGAAATGCTGGCGGGAGTGGGGGCCCAAGCTGGAGTGACTGAGCCGCCCAGAGAAGGCGCCAGCGCGCGCAGCGGCAGGGCGGGGAGTGGGAGGCCGACCCCGGGACCCAGGGCGCGCCGACGCCGCTTTACCTCTCCAGGGCCTGCAGGGTGTAGCTGATGAGCGGCCTCTCCAGGATGGGGCAGAACTGCTTCGGGGTGGGGACGCCCATCCTCTCCCCGCTCCCCCCCGCCGGCAACACGGCCGCCACGGACGGAGCGCGGCGCCCGGCCTCGGCCTCGGCCTCGGCCT